ATATAAGTCAAAAAGTAGATTTTAGTGTTAACTTTATATAACTTGTAAGTAAAATAATAAATAAAACAAATATGAAAAAACCAACAATTCTAATGTATATATTAAAATACAGTACAATAATAGGTATCTGATACCCTCACTTAACGTAGAATAATATTCTACCCAACTCAATACTATGTCCAACATGAGTTTCAAATATATCGGGCCCTAATCGTTCCTGAAAATAATATTTTTTTACATTGTTATACCATATTCTAAACTATTTAATATTTCAGTCACTTAAAAAGTTAATTTGTATTGAATAATTGTCTACCATTAAAGCAAATTTGGACTAGTATTTTTAATGGGCATATTCTGTGTATGGATATAGGTACTTCCTCCAGATTTTGGGTTCAACCAATTTATTCTTAAAACCTGAAACATCTACGTATAAAAAATAGACAGGTTACTAATTATAATAAAATTTACCCTTAGAATTATACTTCTTTAACAAATAATTTCCATTGGTATACTTTTCCATGACAAGTAATCAACTTCCTAACATTTTTTAATTGATGTAATACTTCCTCATGATACGAAAAGAAAATCTTTTCTTTAGCACACAATGGACAAACGATATGTTGGCTTACTTTCAGATTAGTTACTTTTCCATAGATATCCTCATGTCAATTCAAAGACGATGAACATGAAAATGATCATCACATGAAACATCACAAACTAAAAACCTAATAAACAAGTTTATATCGAATATAGAAATAAATTTAGTGTTCTTACCTATTGTCGTCCAAATCCACATTAATAGATAATTAATTTTTTGGATTTTTATCTTTTATTTTTAAATATATCTTTCGAACTACTGGTTTTAGTAATTATTAAATTAAACGAACTAAAAAGTCAAAAATAATAAACAATTCTCTTGTCAATTGTCAAATTTCTCCAGGCACCGAACATTATCGATAACGCACGATCTACGACGATTACTCCTTTGATCTGATTGGACGGTTCAATGACGGTTGGTTGCGTATTTTAATGTATCCTATCGTATCGACGAACCGCGACATATTCACTATGCATACATGAACGCATGGACGAATCAAATCGACGCATCAGCGTATACTGAGTATATTACATACTAAGGGTCGGCATTTTTGGTCTTGGATGCCGGTTTTCATGTGTACGAAGAGTACGGTCAACACGCTTAGTAAAATAAGATGTACTGAATAATGACAGAAGGGCAGTATTTTCCCAAGCGCATGGAATCTAGCGTCAGATTAAGTAGTTATGTAATGAATACTTCGTATTTTTGCTCACTCCGACTTACTAGATTGCCATAACGACTCACTCCTATACATGTAAACGCCGACTCAAAGGTTCGCTTGCCAGCGGGGTATAAGATATCGAATGTCTATGTAGACACGCAGTTTCGTGCAAGTGATCGTAAGTTTTAAAGATTACTATGAATAGGCTGTGGAAGAATAATTTTACTTCAAAAATTGAGTAACAATATAAAATCTCAAGATAATTAATTGGGTAATTGAGCAATATTCTGGGCAAATAAAAAACTTATAAATTAAAATATAAATTTTTTATATCGAGAATCCACCAGAAAAATTCTCAGTAAATATGTATTACGATTAAAACCAAATACCACAAAAGTGGTTTTCTAATTTAATATTGGTTGTCTTAAATTTGTTGCCAATCTATAACATTTTTGTGAAATATTTCTATTACCCGAAAAAGAATGTCGAGTGAAATATTTCATTTAATGGCTTCATTAATTTGTAATTTACTAATCTCTTCATTATTGTACTTAATTTAATCTATCACGATTTTAATAACTTAGTAACTTATTTTATAGAATGTGTATACCTCTCAATGGTTTTGCATTAGTAACACAATTAAAATTAATAATGTACTGCAATAATTTGCTATATAAATTGGACAAAAAATATTTTTAGATACTGAATTCTTGCACAGAAAGACATAATTGTCTTTAACGATATACAGGGTTGTCCGAACTGTAATTCGGAAACTTCGGCAGCATATTATGCAGATAACAATAAGTAAAAGAGTTCGCATAAATGTATGTCCTAAAATGGTTAGTTTCTGAGATACAGGGTGTATAAGTTTCATTTTTTTTTCGATTTTTTAAAAAAAATCAAATAATTTCTGCAGTAACGTCAATATTTGGATGGAAATTGGTGTCTGGGAGTTTTTTGACATGAAAAATTTGATTTTGATGTCAATATGATTTTTACTTGTATACCACCGATATATTTTTAACTGGTTTAAAGAGTAATAAGTTTTCGTTTGCATCCGTTTAAAACTACTGAGTAAAAAATATACATTTACGACATTTTTTACGTAAAAAAGTCTCTTGGTAAAAATCGCTACGAGTAATGGTTCTGGAAATATTTGGAATCGAAGTTATCAATACCTGTCATCATTGACATAAATTAAACATAATAGTTATTAGACTATATAAAATCATAAATTTAAAATGTCTTTGTGCCAAAAGTTCAAAAAAACTGTTCTATCATCTAAACGAATTGAGCTAAACGAATGAGGTTTTGAGTCCCCTACCCCTCGTTAGAGGTTTTGCAATTTTGAAATTGTTTTATCATCATTTTTTAAGTTTATGATTAATTTAAATAAATAAAAAGTTCCCAAATTTATCATTTGAGTTAAATACTTATTTACTCAACATGTTTATTTTTTGTCAATAATGGCATGTATTGATTATTTCCATTCTAAATATCTTTAGAGCGGTTGCTGCGATTTTTACCAAGAGACATTTTTTAGGTAAAAAATCGCGAAAATGTATATTTTTTTACTCAGTAGTTTTATACAGTTTTGGACCAAAAGTTATTACTCAAAACAGTTAAAACACATGTAGGTAGCGCCCCCTACAAAAATCATATTGATATCAAAATCGAATTTCTCATGTCAAAAAACTCCAAGACACTAATTTTCATCCAAATATTGAAGTTACTTCAGAAATTATTTGGAAAAAATCGAAATAAAAATGAAACTTACCTACACCCTGTATCTCGGAAAATAAGCATTTTAGGAAATATATACATTTATGCGAACTTTTTTACTTATTTTTATTTGCGGAATATGCTGTCGAAGTTTCCGGAATACAGTTTGGACCACCCCGTATATTAGAATTAATATTTAGTGATAGCTTGTCCAGTGAATATTAAAATTTCACATAACATTTACAAATGCTATTTTTAAATTTAGTTTTGCTGTTTAACTGTTATTCTTCAGAATCTATAACTACTATAAAGCTTCATACAGACCTGAATGTTGTACCGAACAACAAACGGAATGGCAAATGAAGACGAAAAATTGAAAACTTATTTTCAGCGAACCGAACAGCAAACGAAGCATATTTTTGCATTCCTAGTAATTTTTCAAATATCGATGCTGCACTAGTTGATGTACCTACCCGAACCCATTCCTCAGCTCTTGATCATTTTAGCATTTTTACGCCGAAAGAAACGAGCTCATTTTCTCTTTACACTCATCTGGATCTATATTAATTTGTTGAGCAATATCCTTCCATGCATCTTGTTATATAATATAATAACTTCTGTTTTTGGTACGATCTAATTAAATCAAGACAGTTCTCTTCTCACTACTCGTTTATGCGTAGCGAAATTCTAAATAGTTTTATTAAATAAGCCTTTGCTGCATTCGCCGTTTTGTTTTTGTTCCCGTACTAACCTACAAACGCATTCGCACGCATTTCCTTTGATGTTAGACTAAAAACCGACAACAAATGGATCGACGGCGAAGCAAACGAGAACGTCACTCCGAAGAGCCAAGATTTGCAATTCACTTTGCAAACACGTTCGTATAGCCCGTTCAAACTGGTGTTTCATTTGCCGTTCGGTTCGATATTCCGTTTGTTGTTCGGCACCACGTTCAGGTCTGTATGAGGCTTAATAAAGCACTTTCGTTTAAGAGCAGATCTAAAGCCTCATACGGACCTGAATGTTACGCCGAACAACAAACGCAACAACGAACCGACCGGCAAATGAAATGCTAGTTTGGACGACAACGAACCGACCGGCAAATGAAATGCTAGTTTGGACGAGCTACGAACGTGTTTGCAAACAGGATTGCAAATCTTGGCTGTTCGCATTTACGTTCTTGTTCGCTTCGCCGTCGATCCTCTGTTGTCGGTTTTGAGTCTGACATCAAAGGAAATGCAAGCGAATGCGTTTGCAAGTTTGGACGAGAACAAAAACAAAGCGGCGAAGGCTTATTTAATACAACTATTTAGAATTTCGCTAAACATAATGTAGTGATCGGAAGAGAAATGATTTTATTTAATTAGATTATACCAAAAACACCAATTACTGTGGCAAGCTAAAACAGATAAGATGTTTTGGGTGTATAAATGTATTTTCCACTATCCTCTTGATTTTCTCCCCTTTTTGTTGATTAACGCATAATGTATGAAGATATATGCTACTCTAGCATTCATATTTGAAACATTACTGGGAATGCAAAAATATGTTTCGCTTGCTGTTCGGTTCGCTAAAAATAAGTTTTTAATTTTTCGTCTTTTTTTGCCATTCCGTTTGTTGTTCGTTGCAACATTCAGGTTTGTACGAAGCTGAAAGTGTGTAATAAGACGATTTTAAGAAAATAATACTTTTGCATGGCGTCTTAAATATTAGGGAATATGTATGTCTAAGAATGATTTTGTTTATTAAACACCCTATATATTATTACATTTTTAGGTTCCTTTCTAATCACTTTACATAATTCTAGGCTACTACTTTTAGAAATTTAATAATAACCTAGAATTATCAGGATGATCAGGAAATAAACCTGAAAAAAATACCCTTATCCGTCACACTATTTCGTCTTTTCTAGCCTGCAATTAGATACAATTCCTAAGTTTTTTTGCATGCCCGAGACATAGTTGTAGAATCCTGTATGTTTATTTTTCAAAAAATAAATAAAATATGTTTTTTTTTCAGGAGTAACAGCTCAGTTTAAGTGTCCTCAAGGAACCGGTTACTTTCCAGATGCCCAACAGTGCGATTTTTACTACGAATGTTCCAAAGGACAATATGAAGAGAAATTGTGTCCTGACGGCCTAGTGTTTGACGATTCTGATCCGAACCACGAAAGGCATGGATACCGTTACCGATTAAAGGCTTTTTAATATTAATCTCACTATGTTTTAGATGTGATATTCCTGCAAATGTGGAGTGTGGCCAAAGGACTGCTCTACGTAAGTACTAAAAACTTCCCATACAGCATATCAAATCACATTTACGAATTGTTTACATTATTAGATGTAGACACAGGGTGACACAATTCCCCCGATGTAAATATGCTACGTTTACACATTGTAGTTCAACACGTATGCACAAAGGTTAAACGTCCGCCTCACAATGTAGCCACAGTATAGCATTTACGTATACACAAAGTAAGGGATACACAGTGTGCCGTAGGATACACAGTGCTTGTGTATTACGTTTAAACTATGTTTACACATTGCAGTTGTGACTACCGCGTGTATACGTATGTATTTTGCTTCGTATATACATCTTGTGCTAGATAAAACTGCTTCTAATGAACGAATTTAGGAAATAATACAAGTTTTGATGCCTAACTTTTCATTCTTTTTAAGAAATATTTATTCAATGATACCAATTATATCTTTTTAGAACGAAAATTAGGAATGCAAAACTTTTTATTTTCCAAAAGTATCTCGATCGTAAGTTCAAGAGAAGTAACCTTAAAATTGTTCCATTTTTGTTTTGTATTAAATGTACCATTTTTCTTCCATAAAATGGATTAAGTGGTTAAAAAATATAATTCTTATATTTCTTTATACCACGGAACGCAATAGCGCAAATAACACAATAATAATTATTATTTACACTGCAGAAACCAGAAGTAAGAAAACACTTTAAAACAGAATTGTAGCAAAATGTATTAAAAATATAAGTACCTAGTATAACAACATACTAAAATGGTAAACACTGTTATATCGCCACGATTTGGTGGACCTCGTTTAGTAATTTTTTCCTCCTCTTTTCCCTCCAAGCAGTTGGTTTATTAGCATACTCATTCATCGAGCACTCTGTTGGACTTTGTTGTATTTTATTTCCAGATTAACAGTCTCACCCTTAAATTTTATATGAAACTGATTATTGAATATTAAACATATCTGTATATCGATCCATCAATAACTTACCGAATATCAGTGTAAGAAGTTCTTTGAAGTGTTTAAATCTTTCTTTCTCTGGTCCATTTAGATTTTTATTATTTCCAAATTAAAAAAAATATATTGCAGAGCTAACTCAGCTAACCTCTTTATCATTATACGAGAATATTTGGAGTTTTCATTCATTGGAGTCAAAATTTGGTAAATTGGGTATTGAGCAAGGGAAGAGTCGCTCCTATAATATTAATAATACTCTTAGGAAGGTGTAACAAGGTAATTAAAAACTTGTACTTACCGTCAAATCTCTTTTAAACTATACACAAACAGAACATTTATATAAAGCTTTCGAATGATAAAACAATAATGGCTGCTAACACATACCACTCCTAAAAAGGAGAAAGGAGAGGGACACATAAGATACACTTGGTCGGTGTATCTACGCTGAGGCTATCCGCGCATGTGCACACCTTCATTTCATGCTAGAATGTAGACACAACAGTACACTATTACAAAGTGTCTATATAGATATTTATAGTATGTGTATACGTCACGTTTTTACAAGGTGTGTACTATAGGCACAACTATGATACGAAGTATCACACATACATATGACTTATACATTGTATGTCTCATAATATACCGACGTCAGATTTCATCATTTTAATAATTATTTGTTACGTTACAAAAAACTCTTTAGAATCTTGAGTGCATACGGTATACAACTAGTAAACACTGTATCACACAATTATATCAATATAAACCTGCGTGTATCTCATATGTATATGTTAGAACTAGATGAACACTTAGGTTCACTTTAACATATGTTGTTTCTCATGTGTCTCCCTTGTAGAAACGTAATTTCATTTGGACGTGCTATATGGGTTACAATTTTGCAAACTGTGAAAATTGTCTCGTTCAATAGATAGTTTTTTGAAAACCAATAAATTAATTTTTCGAAAGTAAAAAATTGAAAAAAAAATTAAAAAACCTAAAATGTCAGTGTTCATTACCATTTTAAAATCCAATACAGGGTGGTCTAAACTTTATTCCGGAAATTTCGGCAGCATATTCTGCAGATAAAAATAAGCAAACTTCGTATAAATATATGTCCTAAAATGCTTAGTTTTGGAGATACAGGGTGTAGAAGTTTTATTTTTATTTCAATACAACTATTTGTAGGTGGCGCCCCCTATATGTGTTTTAACTGTTTTGAAGGTTAATAACTTTTCGTCCGTACCTGTATAAAATTACTGAGTGAAAAAATATACATTTCCGTGATTTTTTAAGTAATAAATGTCTCTTGGTAAAAATCGCTACGAGCCACCGTTCTCAAGATATTTAGAATGGAAATAGTCAATACATGTCATTATTGACAAGAAATAAACATGTTGAGTAGATAGTTTATTAGACTGAAATTATAAATTTGAGAACTTTTTATTTTTTTATATTAGTTATAAATTTTTCTTCGAAAAAATGATGATAAAATAGTTTCTGTTGAACTTTTGACACAAAAACATTTCAAATTTACGATTTCAGTCTAATATCTATTTAGTCAACATGTATGTTTTATTTATGTCAATGATGACAGGTATTGATAATTTCAATTCCAAATATCTCGAGAACCATTACTCGTAGCGTTTTTTACCAAAAGACATTTTTTACGCAAAAAACGTATATATAAATGTATATTTTTTTACACAGCAGTTCTATATAGGTACGGACAAAAAGTAATTACACTTCAAACCCGTTGAAAAATATATAGGTGGCGCCCTCTACAAGTAGGAGTCATATTGGCATCAAAATGCAATTTCCCATGTCAAAAAACTTCCAGACACCAATCTTCATCCAAATATTGATGTTACTTACAAAAATGATTTTGAAAAAATCGAAATAAAAATAAAACTTTGACACCCTGTATCTCAAAAACTACGCATTTTAGGACATACATTTATGCGAACTTTTTTATTTATTTTTGTCTCAAAATATGCTGTCAAAGTTTCCGGAATACAGTTCGAATCACATATTTTGTGGTTAGTATGATGTATGATATTTCGTGGTTAGTAGTTTTGATGATTTTTAAGCAATTTGAAGCTAAATTATTTCACTTTTTGGCCCTTTTGCAAAAAATAATTGTGGAAATCTTCAACATAATATAATTTTTACTAAATACAAATAATTTCAGAGGAACCAAAACCAAGCAAAGGTTGTCCAAGAGCAAACGGATATTATAGGCACGAAGATGAACAAGTCTGTGATAAATTCTACAACTGTGTAGATGGTGTTCCAATTGAATTACCATGTCCTCCAGGTATAAATATATACTGTAGCTATTAAACTAAACGTTATTTATAATACTACTTCTAAAATTAAACTTATAACTACAGTAATAACGACACTTTGCGTCATGACTCTATAATAAGGAATATTATTTATCTATTTTGTACACATTTTCTTGACTAGATGGTGGAGGTTAATAAATTATAATTTTTTACAGGTCTTATTTACGATGATATTAGCAGTACATGTGCATGGCCAGAAGCTAGTAAAAGAAAATGTACCAACTCAAAGAGAGATGTACTTGATGATGGGTTTTCTTGTCCAGAAGGTACAAACAAAATGTTAAACGAAAATAAATAAAACTAAAACTTTTAAATATATATCTGTATTAAAAATCAAAACCAAAAAAAGTAAAAAATAATATTAGATTACAAATCAACAAAATAAAAAAAAATACCATACCAACTGAGAAAAATCAGTCAGAGTTGGCTTGGAAAGAAGAAATCTTTCTTTTTATATGTAAAATTTTATAGGGAATGTCATTAATCATAATTTCCAAAACATTTATTTCGATCATATGGTATATTATAATTGATAATTAATATATAAGCTAATTTGTAAGTAATACTACCTTAAGAACTATTTATAATTATTATAGGGAACGTCCAAGGGCCAGGTGGTCGGACTCTACCTCATCCTACATTCGCTCATCCAGAAGATTGCCAGAAATTTTATATATGCAGGTAAGAATAATCAATTTCAAAAATTTAAATAAAAAAATAAATAAAAATTATTGAGTATACGGGCTGTCAAAAAATAGTGTATATAACTTCGGTGGATGATTCTACAAATAAAAATAAAACAAAAAGTTCCAATGAATATATGCCCTAAAATTCTTCCCGAAGAAATTACAGCCCTAGAAAGGTTAAATTAAATTAATCTATTTTGTTTATTTTTAAGAACATTGGTAAACTGTTTTTCTTGAAATTTGGTACTCTTACTTTTGGTACTTTAAAAGCGAATGTACTCTACAAGGATAAAAGAATTAGATTAGATTTAGTACCACTGATGGTAATTCTTTTATCCTTGTAGATATAGTAATTTCACTAAATGAAAATTACAGCTAGGACTTTTTTTTATGTAAAAAAGGTGATCGTCGTTTAGTTCAAAACAATGGACGTTTTTTTAAACGCCAAGATATTGTTTAAAAGTTCCGATGCATTGATTTCGATTTTAGCATTAGCGAAATCAGGAATTAGTTACTTACATTTTATCATTTTTTTTCTTTATATTTTCTCATTTTTTTTAATATTTTTTATTTATTTTCTTATTATATATATACTTTTTTACAATTTTATTATAGGAATGGCGTTCAACCACAGAAGGGATCATGTCCACCTAAAAAAGTTTACAATGAAGAATCCTTTATGTGTGACGATCCAGCAAATGTACCGGGCTGGTAATACTAGAAATAAAAAATGAATTATTTTTAAATGATATATGTTTATTTTTAGTGAAAATTTCTTCAATGGAAAGAGCTAGGAACAAAACCTTATATTTTCAGTGAGAAGTATTTATCAGAAAGTATTGCTTTAAATATATATTTTTTAACTATATATATATTTATTTTTAAGTAAATTTAAATTTGAAACAAATAATTATTTAAATAATTAAATTTAGTAAAGTTTTGTAAGTATCTGTAGTAGAAATAAATAAATAATAGTTATGTCATAAGTATTTTAATTATTTCTCACACATTCACATTACACTTTTTGATTAAAATAATCTAATAGATTGATTATTTGTTAATTTAATAAATTTTCCTGTGTTATATCTAGTGTAAAATGCTCGAGAATTTATTTTTGGAGAACATTCCCCGAGAAGTAACGAGAATAATGAAGTAAAAACAAATGCCGAGAATTTATTATTAGAACAAAGAAAATAAGTTGCAAAATCAATCAGATTATTCTTTAAACTTTAGTCTGAATTTTTTCGTAGTTTCTTATTATTCTCGAGAAAAATGAGTTCCGAATTGCTTTAAAAAATGCAAAAAATGTTTATAAGAAAAATTCTTGTTTGTGCTTATACATTTTTTTAAATCATTAAAACATTAATTATGTCCTTCACATTTCATATTTCTTAAAGTAAAATAAATCCATTTTTTGAAGCTTGTTACTTTAATAAACAGGAGTTAAGCTTCATTCAGAACCTCCAAATTAGTGAAATAAATTAGTGGTTTCGATTATACGTAAAGTTTTACACAGAAGCTAAAAATTAGTGAAATAAATTAGTTGTTTCAATTAGCGTCGAAGTTTGTTTCTCCAATTTTAATGTAAGCATTCACGACGTCACAATTAAATGAAGTAATTTTCAATTGGCAGATAAATGTTAAAAACTTTGATTTTTTCTACTTATACTTGTGACTGAGAAATTGTTGTTAGAAATGAAAAGTTTATTGTTTCAAGCTAATTATTAGCTTTTTTCGCTGACTACCACAAGCTGTCGTTAAGATATTCTATTAATTTTAAATGTCTAAAAATACATCAAAATTAATAGAATATCCTAGCAACAGCTCTACCGGAAGCTCAGTTGTAGCCATAGAGAAAGCCTAATATAATTAGCCTAATTAACTTAGCTCTTAAAAAGCCTAATTAATTTAGCTCAAATTAGCTTATAAAACAATATTTTTCTTCGTTCTAACTACAATAATTTGCTCTTGTCGGATGATAGACTTTTAGAATAAGTGGGAGGGGGGGGGTTAATCTCTGCAACCTTAGAGATCTATTGTGTCCCCCTTTCTTGAGTTATAACTCATCATACAGTCCCACGACTTCCTACGGAGACCCGTGTCCCTCACAGTCGAGGAGCTACGACCCAGGTCGGGTAGTCGAAACGGTAGCTTGTGTCGCCTGTTGGGTTTAGAGGTAGGAGGTAGGCTCCCGACCCTTGGAGGAGGTGGTAGCTTGTATGCCACTTGCGGAGGATGGTCTCACGCAAGTGTCAGCCACCTCTCCTGTAGTTCTCTTGGGGTTTGGCCCCTTGGATCTTTCATTGTTACTGTTCTCAGTGTCGCTAGGGGGTTTCCCCACAGCTTCACTGGTGATGTTTTTATTACTGTTATTACCAGATCTCATAGTGTTCCTATGAGTCGCTAGGGACAGTCGGTCCACTTCTACAGAGCCCCGCATGTAGAAGTAAGGGGTAAAATAAATTGGGGTGCCCCTCGGTGCCCCAAGGTTGAGGCTGTCCGTAGCCCCGCCCGGTATCGTTATATGTCTTGGTGCAATTCCCTGGCCACGATACTACAGTCAGGGACAAGACGATGAGTGAGATGCTTCTTAGACCAAGCCAAGTGCTAGGGGGGATTCCCCCCAGCACCTGACCAGGAGCTTCCCCACTAACGACAAGGTCTTGCATCTCCTAGAGGAAGCTTGTCGGATGATAATCAAAGGCCAAAATAACATTACTCCCAAATTTTAAAGTGTAATTAGTTGAAAAAGTTAAAAGTTTAGGACACTTCTTAGAGTAATCTCAGACTTAAAAATATTAAATTATATATATTATATTATAAACAATTAAAGCATCTTTGTTTTGCAGTTGTATTTAACATCATTTTGTTTCTTTTGTATTTTCACCAAACATAATTCATACAAATAGTACAGATACTTACTTGTTCAATTACATTTGCAACATTATTACTTCTTGTATCAATTGTGTAATTAATTATTTAACATAAATAAATACACACCTTTTTCTTCCTTAATAACTTAGACTTTCAATTTAATAAATAAATACTTTTACTTAGTTGCTTTGTTATTTTATTTCTTTCATATTTTTAACAACTAAATATATTTTTTAAATCGTTTAAATTTAAAATATCATTTGTTTGACGTGCCTTCTTATCTATTATTAATAGTTAGTGTTTTAAATTATTTTTATTTATAGTAAGAATATTGATTATGATATTATGCTAGAAAATATTTGGTTTGAGAGAGGATAACAGATAATATAATCAATCTAATATGCTATAGTCTCTCCAACAAGAAGGTGCATGATAGTGATAGCTGTGTCAATACATTATTTTAAATGAATGACATAAAAGCTTACCTATACTCTGTTTTTCTCTCAGGTAAGATTTCGACAGACGATGACAGAAAAAAAGCAGATGAGGTCCATACTAATCTATTTATTTCTATTCTTCTTTACATTTATATAAATCAGTCGTGCCTCGTCTCTTGTTGTTTTAACCAGTTTTATTGGCTTATTTCAAAAATGACAGATCATATTTCAATATTATTGGAGTGACGCAACGATGAACGCAAAATTTTTGGGGCTTATCAAAGTCGTGCTAAATTAAAGGTTATAAATTTGTGTCAAACAATGTCAAATCATGTGAAGTAACTTGCGTTTTAGAAGATTATAAACATTTGCGAATTATTTTTGCATTTTGGTTCGTGTTATTACGTGTGTTTTGTGTTTTTTGAAGTTAAGTGGAGAAAAAATTGAGGAAAAATGGACTCTAGACCCAGAGCAGAGTTTATAATTAGTATTCGATGCCCAAACACAGCTTTATACACCAAGAAAGTTGTTACTATCAGTAAAGTTTGTATACCATCTCGTATATGATACTAAAAACAGGAGTAGCTGTAAAATAAAGGCATCACACGATAGGTAAATAATAGATTCTAGTACTGCAAAAATTAAGATTAAAGTTAGTTGATCAACTTTTAAGGTATAAAATTCAGTAAGTGTTATAATTAATAAATTATTTCGTTTTATTTATGTTGTGTTTTATTCATTCCTGTTTAATATTAAAGTTTTTTTATTTGTACATAAGTTATATTGATAAATATAATAATAAGTGCAGGAAGTTTCTTGACGCTTTAAAGTAAGAAATAATTCTTTTTTATGTTTTTTGGTATATAATGTTTTGTTTAAAATACAACCATGTTTCTTTTGCATTAGCACATGCCGTATTTTTTTGAAATAAAATAACTCGATTAGATTTTTTCAGTGTCATACAGTTTTTTTCACAATATTTTGAAGTAATCATTAAGTAAAAAAATAAAATAAAATACTATATTTTCTCACTCAAATTTTAAATATATCAATTTCTTGCTATGCGTTCCAATTGTACCATCCTATTTCATTATAGAATAAAATAAACTACCTTGAATTTAAAATGACAGACATATCTATCACTGTCAAGGATTTTGTCGTTGGACAGACTATTTTATGGATTGTTATTTCAATGGCTACTTTGACAATTTTTTGATCGCTTGATTCTCGGATTTATTGGAAGTTTGACCATGTAGCTACACAGAGGATAATTTCGACAGACAACATCCAAAAATTGACAGAAATATACAATTTATTTTGTACTAAAATTGCAGAGAATTGATAGAACATACATTCTCTTGTTAGATAAATTATATATTTTTATATTATAGTTTTAGTGTTGTAACAAAAGCTCCCGAATAGTTGTCACTGAATATAAATTCAGAGATAAATAACGTAAAAACGAACTGAATTTTTATTTATGGCTTACACTTAGATATTTTAATTTGATCAGTCTGTATACGTAAAAGAAATAAATTTTTAGATGAATGGTATGTAAAATTAGAGCCAAGAAAATTAAACACGTTATTTTTTAATTATATATTTGTAGATTAGATATCAACTGGACCTTGCCGGACCCCCTACAAGGTTTTATCAAAAGATCGCCATTTTAAAAAGCAGTATTGTACCAGACTTACCATGAACAGTCTGGTACTTTCACTTCAGATCAATTGTGGCGATATTTCGGTAGCGGTCGGTCTTAATAGTAGGTCGCAGGTCAATAAATCCCAAATTAACGTCGAACAAGATAAAAAAGTACACAAAATTGCAAAACACATAAGCTTATATCAAAAAATCTATAAAATAAAATCTGTATAAGTAGATGGAATTGATAAGTGACATTGATATGTCTTTCAAAGTAATATACTATTGAAATTGTTTGAATTGTACACTCTGTATTCTATGCTACTGCTCTAGATTTAAATGTGTTTCTTGTTGATATTACCTAATCGAGCTGCTAATATTTTTTGTCTTGCAACTTGTAATTTGCTACGGATAATAATTATTGTTGATAGGATATGCTATGTGTTATACGAGGACTAGTGATAAAATAAGAGTTATTAAAAGTAGTATAATAAACATTAATACATTTGTACAGACAGTTTTAACAAGTGTGTTCACATGTTAACAGAGTTGTACTGTTATAAATAATCGTCTTTCATTAAATATCTGCCTGTCTTAATTACTCAATAATACGATTTTTTTTATATACATGATCGGCAATAGAGGGTTTTGGGTCGGTATTTACATATCTGAAAAAGAATCGCTCTAGAGATTTTGTAAAGTCAGGGTACTGTTAAGTCGTATTTTGATAAATACATTAGTGCATAGATAAAAAACTGAAAAATAAAAAAATGAGTTATGCCACCTGAGACTTCCCCACAGTTACAAGTTTTATCTCACAAAATGCTGTAACCAAAGAACCTACCTACCAAGACTGTATCTCTCACGGTATCAAAACAGTGACATTATTTGGATTTGACGCATCTTACAAAAATTAAAAGTTTAATACAGGTAATTTTTGATTTTCTTTACAAGTCGAATAA